GGAGGGCCTTAGGCTTGCGAGGACGGGCTCCAGGCCTGATGACCCCTCTGGCCACCTGCAGCAGGGCAGCCCACACGGTCTGGGTCTGTCTCCCTTTGCTGCTCGACAACATCCTGCCAGCTTGGACCGCCACCAGAGCTCCTGCAGCCACCACAGCGGCAGGGGCACTGAGCAGCTCGTTTTGGGGACAGGAGCGCCATCCTTTCTGCGTTCAATAAGCAGTTCTTGGAGTCAAGCACCGATGGCTCACGCCTGCAAACCGAGATATTCAGGAGGCTGAGACTGGGAGGACTGAGGCTCAAGGCCAGCTTGGGCAGGGAAGTCCTTAAGACTATCGCCAATGAACTAGCAAAAAGTTGTATAGGAGGCGTGGCTCAAGTGGTAGAGCATGAGCCATGAGCATGCAAGCTGAATAAATGTGAGGACCTATGTTCAAACCCTACAAAACACACACACACACACATACACACACACACACACACCACGAATTACTGGGCACCTACCTATTTCAGGAGAGCCACCAGTAACTTGATGGTAACTAGCAAACCTGCTTCTACGTTCACTGAGGAAGAAAAGCTAGAGAGGAAACCCCCAGGTCATGCGTGTGGTGGCAGGTATGAGTGCTGCATGGGAGAGGCAGGGCACAGGCTGGCTGGGGAAAAGCTCTGGGCAACAACTCATAGAGGGCAGGAAGGCTGTGCTGGGGAAGCAGCATCTGAACTGAGCTTCAGACACCCAGTTGAAACCCTGCTAAGCCCAGGTAGACCCAGTGGAGTCAATAGCAGGTTCAAAGGCCCTGGGGCCACAAACTTGACAGTGGGAATGGGAAAGCAGAAGGGCCTCAAGTTCAAGCCCTACAATCGACCCCTCCCCCCCAAAAAAAAGGAATGGAAAAAGTGGGCCCACGTGCTCCTTCACAGCTGTATTTGCCAGTCCTGAGAGCAGTCTGAGTCCTCCAAGGCACCACCAGGTGAGGGAGCTGTAGATGCCCACATGGGAACTGCCAGTTCCCCACTTTTTTTCCTTTTCTTTTTTTTTTTTTGGGTCCAGTCGTGGGGCTGGGCCTGAGCGCTGTCCCTCAGCTCTCCAGCTCAAGGCGAGCGCTCTACCACTTGAACTACAGCACCACTTCCGGTTTTCTGGTGGTTTATTGGAGATAGGAGTTTCACGGTCTCTCCTGCCCGGGCTGGCTTTGAACTGCGATCCTCAGATCTCAGCCTCCTGAGTAGCTAGGATTACAGGTGTGAGCCACCAGCACCCGGCTCCCCGCTTTTTTCTATTTTGTCAGTCATGGGGCCTGAACTCTGGGCCTGGGTGTTGTCCCTCAGCTCTTCAGCTCAAGGCGAGAGGTCTACCACTTGAGCCACAACGCCACTTCCGGCTTTTTCTATGTGGTGCTGAGGAATCGAACCCAGGGCCTCATGTATGCAAGGCAAGCGCTCTACCACTGAGCCACCTTCCAAGCCCTACTGTTTAATTGGTGGTAGGGCTTGAACCTGGGGTCTGGGCACAGATGCCAGCACCCAGCCTGCATTGTTGTTTTTTTTTTCTGTACCAGCCCTGGGACTTGAACTCAGGGCTATCACTGTTTTGTACTCAAGGCTGGCACTCTACAACTTGAGCTACAGTTCCACTTCTGGCTTTTTTTGGTTAAAGACAAAGAGTCTCAAAGACTTTCCTGCTAGGGCTGGCTTCAACCCACAATCCTCAGATCTCAGCCTCCTGAGTAGCTAGGATTACACCCAGCTTAGGCCACGGCTCTTTGTCCAGTGCAAATACTTTCAGATGCTGCCCCTGCAACTCTGCAGCCTGGGCTCCAGTCCTGGCTCACCCCCCCCCCTGAGGGTGTGAGCCAAATCACCTATTGAAAATGCACAACCCTCCTTTTACCTTGTCTTCTGCATCTCCTGCCAGAGCTATGCCATTCCCCCGGCTCTTCAGGGAACAAGGTTTTAATCAAGAAGGTTTTCCTTCTTTTTTAGTATGAAAGTCATGCACAGGCATTGTGCAAAGATCTGAAAACTAAATGTGGAAAACAAAAGACAAAAGTTCATACCCACAATCCCTCTTCTGCGGCTGCCGTCAGGTTCAACCTTTTCATAACCATCGTTGGAAGTCAGGAAAACAATCCCCGTGGCTCCACCACCCAGATTGAGCGCATGGCCACCTCTGTCCACGGAAGTGGACAGAGTCTGCAGAGCCGAGTGTGCCGTCTCTGCAGCAGCAGCCTGCCCCGTGGAACGCCCAATCACAGACATCTCTGCAGATCGGTTCACACACAGGCCTGTCATCCGCCCGCCACTGGAGGATGCTCCCTTGACTCTAACGATCCCCAATTGTTGGACACATAGGGTGTTTCCAGCGTTTTCTTGGGGCACACCACGCTAGCGTAAGCAGCCAGTGGCCTATGCAGCCTAACTGGCTGGCTGAGCATCCCAGAGCCCACACTGGCCTTGGAACAGAGTGCTGCCCACATATGCCAAGTGAATAAAGAAACACGGGCCTGGCCAGCACCTGCCAGGGCAGCTCCCACTGGTCTCCTTGGCCCTGCCCATCCTCACTACCCCTTGCTGGTCCCCAAGCTGGCGGACACACGGGGCCCCTTTCCACCTCTCTCCGCCATCCTAAATCCTCATTTCTCCCCAGCCTTACAAGCCCAGCGCCCTGGGAACCCGGCACCTCCAGCTCATCCAGCCGGCCTTAGGATAGCTATACTGCCCAGCTAGGGTCGGGGTGGCCACCATCAATGGGGCCAGCTGAGGCCTCTCAGAGAAAGCCGTAGCCCAGCCCTGAAGAGTGACAGGGGCAAGGCTCCCCCCAGCGGAGGAAAGTTGTGGGAACAGGGTGCAACTGATGAGTGGCCCAAAGCTGGAAGGACAGAAAGGAGGCCTAGCACGGCTGGAACCACGAGGTAAGAGGCAGGCTCAGAGCCTCAGCAGGCCTGTGCACTGTGGCTGCATCAGGTCCGCCACCCTAGCAGGGTGGGATCTTGGCAGTCCCGCCAGCCTTGTCGTCGGCCCGGCAGGGCTTTCTGGCCTCGTCCCTGCACGCCGCATCCTCCACGGCCAGCTCCAGTCCTTTCTCTGGGCTTCTGGTCACAGAGAGCTCTCCTCTTCCCCAGCACCGAAACCTGCCTCCATCTCCCTCCTCCAAGCCCAGAGCCTCTCTCTGGCCCACACAGGGCCTTCACCATCTCCTACCTGGGCTGAGGTAACCAGGTCCCCGGTTCTGATCCAGCACCCACCCTCTCCACCTCCCTCAACTGCAGCTTCTCACCCGGTGCCTGCGGCCTGCCAGCCTCTGTGCTGGGCACTGGGAGAGCCACAGCAGGCCGGTAGTGCCTGCTCTCCCTCAGTTCACTCTGCAGAGCACAGGTGACACTTTTTTTCTAAAAATCGGCCGTTGGGATTGAACTCTGGGCCTGGGTGCTGTCGCTGAACTCTTCAGCCCAAGGTGAGTGCTCCACCACTTGAGCCACAGCGCCACTTCTGGTTTTCTGGTGGTTTATTGGACTTTCCTGCCCGGGCTGGCTTTGAACTGCGATCCTCAGATCTCAGCCTCCTGAGTAGCTAGGATGACAGGCATGAATTACCAGCGCCCGGCTGTCACTCATGTATTTTGCAGAGAATTAAAGGCAGCTGGGAAGGGGCTCGCAGCCATGTGCAATGGGTTCGCTGCAGGAGACCCCCCAAGCCTGGCACAGACGCCCTGGAGCCAGGACCACCTGCCTTTGCCTCCAGCCACCCACAGCTGCACACCAAGCCTCACTGGCTCCACAGCTCCAGTGCCTGGCCAGCAGCCTGCATGACCTTCCTCTAGACTAGAAACCACTCTAGCACCAAGTCAGAAGTTTCCTGAAGGCAGGATTCTCACCTTGTGTCATCTCCACACTTAATACTAGCTGGGTTCCCCAGATCTGGGCCTGAATCTTGGGGACCCAGCCCTGAGCTCTTTCCACCCCAACTGCTGCTGGTTTGCTTCTCAAGGAGCCTTCACCCCCCCCCCCGCCCGTACCTCTGCACTGTGCAGCAGGATGGGGCACAGGCTGCTGTCTCCCGTGGGTTCTGGGTCTGCTGGCTTCCCCTCACAGGTTTGAGGTTTGAATCCTCCCACAGCGGAATACACCAGCTCCCTCCGGCCCTCTGTAGCCGGCAGCCTTGCCTCACATTTCTGTGCCAAGGCAAACCTGGTAAAAATCCCCGACTGGCCTTCCCTCTAGAACCAGTGTCCACCTGGTCCACCTGGATGCGCAGGGAGGCAGCCAGGGCCTGCGATGGGCCTGCTCCCTCCCCTCGCCCGCATCATCACCTGCCCAAAGCCGGACCTCTCAGCCCCAGTTCTGCAGAGCAGGGGGCAGGCACAAGGGCACCCCACGCCTGCTTGCCCCATGCACAGACCTGGCAGGGCGAGGGGACACTGGCCTGAGTGGCAGCAAGCAGCACCCACGGCTGGGGGTGGCTGCCCGTGTCACCCTGGGGACCTCTTCCCATCCTGTCACTCTTGGGAGGAGCCCTTCGTGTCTTGTGCCCCCCTCTGGGAGAAGGGCACCCAGCCCACGTGCCCTTGCTGGCACCCGGTGTGGGTGGCAGTGCACTGCGCCTCATGCTGGTGGTCACTCCATGCCGGCCTCTGCAGCCACCTGCCCATCTGCCAGAGCAGCAGAGCCCAGCGCCGGCGCTGCCCTCCTTAGGAGCAGACAGGCAGCACACAAGCCAAGACCTGGGGTTCCTCCTGGCCCCCCTTCCTTCACACTCCTTCCTGTTGGTGACACCGCCACATACCTACGCCGCCGCTTCACACCCCACCAGTGGACCACACCATCTGGGGGGCTTCACTCCAGGTTCTTACTGTACACAAAACCCGAACTCTACTCCCACTCCAGGGCCAGCAGCCAGGGTGGGCCAGGCTGGTGGCGCATCTGAACCTGCAGCTCAGGGAAGCGGATGTGACAGGGAGTCACTCAGAGGATGGGTGTCAGAAAGAGATGCATCTCACACAGGTGACAGGTGCAAAACAGAGGCTTTAATCCGAACAGCTAGGAAGGTGCGGGGCTGGAGGTGCCGGGAAGGGAGCGGTCTGGCCCTGGGAGGGAGGCAGGCGCTGGGCATTTCCTAACAAAGTGTCTGCGACACAGATGACTCCTGTCCCAGCCTCCATCCAGACCGTCCTGGCCCCAGTCAAGCCCAGGGCCAGGCTCCTCAGGGTCCCCTCCCCGAGGGCTCTATGGCCCACAGGGGCAGGCCTGGATGCTGGGGCAGCGGGCCTGCAGCCGCCAGCCCGGAGCAGACGGAAAACTGGGGAGCTGCTGCCAGCAACCCTCACCCTTGGTGGGGGTGGGCCAGGCCTGGAAGCCCCGCCCAAGCTCAGGCCTCGTGCTGGGACCAGGCACCACCACCTACCTCGTCCCCTGAAGAGAGGTGGCAGGAGAAGGGGTGTGGCTGCGGCCTCCCACCCTCCAGGCCCATCCTCACCCACCCAGGGGAAGACCGGAGCAGCAGCCCGGGCCTCCAGTAAAGCTCGCAGCAGCATGGAGGTAGAAGCAGCGTCAGCCTGAGACTGCAAGAACCTAGCTTCTCCAGAGACACAACAGCCCCAGCCGCTCCCTGAGTCCCGCTGCCTCCTCCCTGCAGGGGAAAGGTCTGGAAAAAGGCTTCAACCAATCACACAGACTCTGCCAGGAGCCTAGGGTCTACCCAATGGGCAGCTTCCAGAACAAAACTACCCCTGGGGAGGGGAACTGCGCCTATAGCCAGGAAACCTGGCCAAGCCAAGGGCCAGAGAGAAAAGCCAAGATGAAGCTCTGGACGCAGATGCCCGCGGGCCCAGGGGCCTCTCTGAGAAGGCTGAAACAACTAAGAGCTCACCACGAAGGCTCCAGCCCCACACAGACCTCCAGCTCTGGAGGACGGCTGTTCCAACCCATAGCAAGGCATCATGGGAACAGAAGGGAAGGGAAGGGAAGGGAAGGGAAGGGAAGGGAAGGGAAGGGAAGGGACGGGACAGGGAGTGGAACGGTGCTTGATGCCTCCCCAGCCTCTGGTCTCAGTGGACTGGACAGGAGCCAGGGAGGCCAGGAACAAGAGCGAGGCCCAGGCACCAGTTCCCAGTTCTTCTTGCCTGCCCACCACAGCAGCAGTCGGAAACTGGCCACTGCCGAGCCCCCTGCTCACCACCCACCCCAGTAAACAGCCTCTCATCAAACAGAAAGAACAGAGGGAGGGTGGGAGGGGCCCGGAGCCCAGGAGCCCTGCCTGGGCAGCGCTGGCAGCTCAGCTCCCCTAGCCAGACGAGACGGGATGGATGGGTAGCAGGCTCCCAAACTTGAAGTGCTGGATCACAGGGAACTTCTCCAGGCACTGAGGAGGAGGGAAGAGAGGTAAGGGCCACTCTGCACCCTGCCGAGGCCTGCCCTGCCTCTTGGGCCCAAGGGGCCCTGGACAGCAGAGAGGCTCAGACCAGAGCAGCCCTGGGAGACTGCTATCCAGGGCCCCAGGTGCATCCCAGTCAGAGCAGCACCCCAACCTCCTCCTGACCTCCCATCCCCACCCCCCCACACCACATCCCTTGTTCATGAGGGAGGGGAGTCCAAGCCCACAAAGCAGAAGCCAAGAGCAGAAGCCACCAAGTAACCTATTTTGGTCCCAAGGGGAAAGCTGATCACTGGAGGGGACGGGGAGGACCCCTGAGGACCCCCGGCAGGCCCGTGTGCGGCCACGCCGCGGGGAAGACGCCAGGGCCGGTTCTCCCCGGTTCTCAGCTGTCTGGACTGAACAAGGCCTCTTTGCACTTCCAAGTGACACAACAGGAAGCAGCTGACGCCCCGGTGCGGGCAGAGCGGGGGACAGAGACTCCCCGCCCCCAGCCCAGGCCCTCACAGCCTCACAGGGGAAGCGGAGACCCACAGGAGCCTCCCCACGCTGAAGCTGGCCTGGTCCTGGAGGGCCCTGCCCTGTGGCCAGCATCAAGGAGCTCCACCTGGCCCCTTCCTTCGCCTCTGCAGCTGGCCACCTCCTGGGCTGGGAGCAAGATCTAGGGCCTCAGCGGAGTGAGGGCCTTGCTCTGACTTTGGTCTGAGGAGGACAGGTACCGATGCGGGGGGGGGGGGGGAAGGATGGGGCTCAGCTCCCGGAAGAGGAAGAACAGAGCTGGGGCCACAGCCAGGCTCCAGGCTGGAGCTGAGCAGAGAAAGTGAGGAACAGGACGGGGGAGGCACAGCAGGTCTAGGCCAGAGGCAAGGCAGCTACCAGGATGCTTATGTCATAGGAAGTGGTGGGAGTTTGGTAAGGGCCCCCCAGGGCGCTGGAATTCCAGAAAGGGTCAAAGGTCAACCTGCGCAGCTCTTCCTGGGGAAGGCAGTGGGGGCAGGGCAAAGGCTGTCATCACCGGGCCCTCAGAACTCCTGGGAACCAGGGAGGCTGCTGGAGCCAGGGCAGCCCGAGGCCCTGGGAGGCCAGGAGATGCTGGCAGCCTCACCTTCCTCTCAGCGCGGTACCCGTACCCTCCCAGGCCCTCCAGCATCCTGCCCAGGCCTGTGGTGGAGATGGGCGATGCCGGGGAGGAGGGCAACCCTCCGGGCTCACACGGCCTTCTCAGTGCCTGTGCCTGGCTCGGCCCTTCCAAAGCTCAGGACCGGCCTCCTGGAGACAGCCAGGTCTAGCCCTGAAGCAGCACAGGGCCCTGGCGCTGCACTGCAGCCCACGCACATCTGAGCTTCAAAGCTGGAGGGTCTGAAGGTCCTCCCTGTGGCCCACTGAGCAGGCACCAAAGGCCCACCACAGCGACTGACAAGGCTACGGCTGGAAAGCCAACCACAGCCAGCAAGCCCAGCGCTACCAAGCCCTACACAAGCCTGGCCTGGCAGAGCACCCAGGGGAGCCAAGTGCCAGTGTTGTGTCCTCAAGGGGGACGCCTGCTGCTGGCCTCCCGGGCTGGTGGTGGCAGGATGCATCCTTCCTTCTGCACAGAAACCCTGATCACCTTCCAGCGCCGCCCGGCAGCGCCCCGCCCCACCCGGCCTGTCAGCCCCCAGCTCTCCGCCTCTAAAGAGGGACCCCAGGCCAAGACAGGTTTGGAGCCACTTGAGGTAAGACATGCAGACAGGACAGCACTCGGGGGCCCAGCAGGGAAGACAGCTAGAGTCCTAGGAGAACCTGCACCCTAGGTGTTTTGACACCCCACCGTGGGGAGGGGCAGGCAGGCGCAGGACCATCAAGGACTGGGTGGAGGGCGGGCCGGCCCAGGTGCAGGAGAGCTGGAAAGCTGCAGCACAGAGCCGGAAGGCCTCTGAGATTAGAGCTATGTGGGCTGGAGCCTAGACACAGAGTGTGAGGTCCAGAGGGGAGGCGGAAGGAGAGAGGGCCAGGCCAGGTCACTTCATGTGTGTTAACCCCTTCAGGGCCAAGCCAAGGGAGCCAGGCGGGGAACACATGTGCTCCCAAACTAGGTTCCCTCCCATCCCTTCTCTTGTGTCCTGACTGCTGATGTAAGTAAGGTCAGGATACAGCAAAGTATATACTAGGGTCCTCCTCCCAGAAAAGAACACAAGGCAGGGTGGCCAAGCATCTGGATGGACAGCCACTGGACATACCTCACATCATTAGCCAGGAGCCAGGGTGAGCCTGATGGCCAAAAAAAAAAAAAAAAAGGGAGGGGGGACTTTGTGAACTTGTGGCTGCAGGTAGGGGAGCTCAAGCAGTTCCAGACTTCAGGTTAATGTGCCCAAGCTGGGGGAGGGGTGCGGAAGGGCCAGGAGAGAAAGAAACAAACAGTGACCCCCTTGATCAGTCTGTTGGCTGGGAGGTCAGCCCCCAGGAGGGGGAGAGGGCAGAAGGCCCTCAGCAAGGGGGGACAAGCACAAAGGTAACAGCCCCCCAGCAGGGGGAGCTCTGGGACCCAGGGCCCCTCCCCGCAGCAGATCTGCTTGGCAGCAGGACCACCTGCACCCTCCTTTCTCCCCTCCCCCCACACCTGCCACGGCATACTCCAGCCCTAGGCCACCAAGACAGTGCCTTCAGAGGATCGCACCCATCCCAAGACCACTGTCCTCTCTGGCAAGGACACTGAGGCTGCCCTCGGCCAATTGACAAGTGGAAGAGACCTCAGCCCCAGCCTCACCAGCAGCAGGGCCTGTTTCAGCCTGAGTTAATTGGCACAGATTAGGTGGACCTCCGCCCAGCGCTCCTGGACTGCCCATCCCTAGGTGGGGGATTCTGAGGTCCCGAGTGTTGGCAAAACAATGTGTGTCTTCTTGGTCCCCAGGGACCAGCGTGCTGGGCAGCCCCCACTCACCTCAGCCTTATACATGCGGATGAGGCCCTGGTTCACTTTGGACCAGGAGGGGACAGCGCTGATGTTCCACAGCTGGTTGGAGTGCTCTGCGAAGGGGCCAGTCTTCATCTGGAAGAGAAGGTCCCGAGGCCCCCATGCTGGAGACACTCCCGCTCCTGCCAGCACTGCGCCCCCGGGCTGCACACATGCGTGTACACACATGCGGCCAAGCCATACATGTGCCTGTGAGGCACGCACCAGCAATCACAAGGATGAGCCAGAGGTGGGCCCCTAGCCATCAAGGCCTCCTAGAAAACTGTAACCTCCATGTCTGCCTACCTTCTTGTCCGCAGATAACCACTCTGCCCCAGAGCCAAAACCAAGGCCTGATTCCTACCATCCAGCAATTCCAGCAGGGACAAGAAAACAAGACCTGCACCCAGGTCTCCTCTGCAGCCACAGAGCCCCCTGCCAGGATGGAACTCCTTTCTATTCAAAGGACACCAGCAGCCACCTGGACTACCCTTCAGGCCCAGTGTCCGTCCCCCACCCCCACCCGTGGCGGGCGCCTGAGCTACACCTGCCAGGCAGAGCGAGAAGGGCAGGGGAGTGGGGCTGTGGAGGCACTGGGCGTCACACTGCTCTCCACAGGGGGAGGGAAGGAATCAGTAATGGATAGACAGGGACTCTGGCAGCAGTTCAGGAGGAGGTGTGTTTAGGAAACCAGACTGGCTTGGCCAGGGGGAAGGGAAAGAACGACCACAGCAGCTGGGGCAGCAGCAGCACAGCCCGTCCATCCTGGATCCGGCTCTTGCCCAAGTCTGACCCTCCAAGAGGAGAGGTATTCTGCCGTTCCCATGGCACTGGGAGAGGGGGCTGAGCCTGAGCATCCATCCCCGACACAAGGCCAGCGCTTGGTGGCAGTAAGTTCACAAGCCGCTCCTCACCCTGTCGTGTCCCCTCTTCCTCCCCCCCAATCCTCCAGCCTGAAGACAGCATTTGTGCTAGGGACAAGGGCTCTGTACAGGTCCAGACTACTGAGAGATTCTGAAAAGCAAAGTGCTGAGTCTGGCAAGGAAGCAGCAACTTGGACCTTGAAATGGTGGAAGGTTCCAGAAGCAGCTGTGCATGGAGGCTTGGGATGGAGGTTGTTCCAGGATAAAGAAAGGATAAACCCAAAGCTCTCTCCGCAGTGGGGTATGGTGACCATAAAGGCCCTGCGGGCTCACAGGCCCTGGCGTGGAGGTGTGCTGCCCCTGGTGGCCCAACTGCAGGCCTCAGCTAAGGGCAGCTGGGACAAAACTGCTCAGCTTTAAAAGAGAAAAAGCTGCCATTTTATCCCCACTGCCTGCTTCCCCTTGTCCAAGTCCCCAGAGAGAGTCAGACTCAATTTGCCCCTTTGGTAGCAAGGTCAGGCTTACAGCAACGCAAAGAGCAGATACGAAGCCCACCCAGGTCTCTTCCCTTGATCTGGAATTATGGGAGGTACCTCAGCCTAACAGGGCCCACTGTCCCACTCACTCAGACTCCACCCCCAAGCCTTCCCCCCTCAAGGCTCTGGCCCTAGGGGCACCCTCGAGCCACTCTGGGGTGACTGCATCTCTGCTGTGAGCAAATCACCCAGGAGGCCCCTGCTGGCACCATTCACACCAGGAGCTCCAGGGACAGCTCAGCAAGGACTTGGACGCCAAGGCAGGCGAGGGACCAGCTTGGCCTACCAGGGGCACTGGTGCCTTCCCCAGAGGCCTCTGGGCCTGTGTGCAGGAGGGATGTGCTGCCCCTGCAGTGGCCAGTGGCCTGGCCCAGCATGGAGGCAGAGGTGCTGTATCTCTGCAGGGGCTATGCCCCGCAGCACTCTCCTTAAGTCCTTCAGAAGGAGACTGCAGTGCTGGGAAAGAAAAACAGACGAGAGGAAAAAATGGAATCGGGGGCGAGAAGAGAAAAAAAAAAAAAAAGCTCATTCTAGCCACAAAGGGAGAAGAGAAGGAGCAGAACGAGCAGGCAAGCTGCAGTCCCGCAGTGACCCCGGGGGAATCGTGAGTCAGAGCAGCCATATTGAGCAGGAAATTACTCACAGACGCTGCGTTCCTGCTCTGCTCTCCCCAGAGAATCGGCCTTTTGTAAATGGTTCCTCTGTCAGTAAGTGAGGGGGATGGGCGGGTGGGGAGGCTGCGCAGCCCTTCCTGTCAGCTCCTTCCCTTCCAGCTGAAATCTGATCCCTCCCTTCCCAAAACTCCAAATTTAGAAGCCAGATTGAAACTGAAATTCTTTTCCTGCCTGCCCTGAGCTCTTAAAGGCGCCAGGGCTGTATTTCCTGGAGCAGAAACCTGCCAAGCAGCTCCCTCACCAGCAGCCTGGCTACCAGGGGCTCGAGGGCCGGTGCTAGCAGGGAACCTGGGAAAGGCAGTTCCCACTTCTTCAGATCTGGTGGAGCCCCCTTGTTGCACCAGTCCTAAAGGAGTTCCAGGTCTCCAAAGGCAACACTGCCCCCTTCCTAACTGAGCACAGAACTCAGGGCAGACATCCAGGTTTCTGAGCCCAGGGGTCTGGGTGAGCGAAGCTAGAAAGCGCACTCACGAAGCAAGGGTTACAAAATGCTGCCTACTGCTCTGAAGGGGAAAGGCTCAGTGGGAGGGAGGCAGTGTGTGGCAGTTGGGGGCCAGCCAGGCAACCCAAAGTGGCCAGGCCACAGCAACTGCTCAATACCATCCGAGGGCCTGGGCTCCAAGTGAAGCACAGGCCTTGCAGAAAGGGTGCAGCACAGCCCCAAACTACACCCCGCAGCTTCCTTTGCCCTCCAAGTTCCTACCTCTCCCTAAATTAAATATTACTGAAACTCTCTCCCGTCAAATGCCTTTAGCGCCACCTTGTGGCACCTCTGATGTTTTGACAGTGGTCCTGAGTCTAAAAGTTTGGGAAAGTTTTGGGGTTTTATAGCGGCATAAACAAACAAACAAAACCAAGTCTTCGCATGCATGGTACAGAGTTCCTCAACCCCTAAAGCCTGGCCTGCCACCAGGGGAAGCAAGCACAGCCCCTGCTCAGCGGGGGTGGGGGGGGGCAGGTCTGTACCCCTGCCTCCTGTCCCCACTCCTCCCTCTCTCCTAGGCTCTCCCAGGGCGCCACAGACCCTCGCACGCAATGCTGAAAGGAGCGCGTGACTAGCTTTCAGGGCAAGGAGCCAGGCCGCCCCCGAGTCCTTCTGACCTTGGGCCGGCTGCACTGCTGAAGGCAGCAGATCTGGGAGAATGAAGCAGTGGCCGCCCAGCCGTCAGTCCAGGCTCCATTTGCTGACTTGGAAAAAAATGTGTCATTCCCCTCTGGCCCCTGGAGTTTGGCAGAAGCCTGAGTGGAATGCTGACCAGGAGGAGCTTGGCGCCAAGGCTGCTAACCGGGCTTCTCCCTCTTCTGGGCTCAGAACAGGCAGCTGAGAGAGCAGCCATGGGTAGGTCCACAGTGAGCCAGCGGGCAGATATGCAAGTGGGCCTCGGGAAGGAGAAAGAAGACAAGGACCATCTCTAGACAGCAGAGCTAGGGGACAGAGGGCTGAAGGTAGAGGACAGGGAGAGCGGACACCTCCCAGAAGCAAGGCCGATTCAACATGGCTCCCAGGCTTTCTGTGCCATCACCTGGCAGGCCTGCTTAGGCTATCTGTCCCTTCACCCTAAGATTCTGATTCAGAATGCCAGGGTGAAGCCCAGGAATATGCATTTCAAAAACTCATCCTTGCTGGGCGCCAGTGGCTCACACATGTAATCCTAGCTACTCAGGAGGCTGAGAGTGGAGGATCGTGGTTCAAAGTCAGCCCAGACAGGAAAATCTATGAGACTCTCATCTCCAATTAACCACCAGAAAACCAGAAGTGGTACTATGGCTCAAGTGGTAGAGTGCTGCTAGCCTTGAGCTGAAGAGCTCAGGATCAGCGCCCAGTCCCGCAGTTCAAGTCCCACAATTGACCAAAACAAAAAAAGTTCAATGGGGAATCCTGCCTTAGCAAGGCAAGAGCCTCCACCATGTGGGCTGGGGCACAGCAGCTGTCACCCCTAGCACTTTGCTGAGGCCCTGGTCCTCAGGTGCTGACAGAGAGGAAGGGTGCAGCAGTCATTCCAAGCCCCAAGGATGCAGCCAACCCTCCTAGTAGAGTGCAGCTGCTGGGCCTGGCAGGCCGCCTCCCCCGCAGCAGGCCTTTCCACACCTGCTGCCTCCCAACCCAACAGCTCTGTGGGGTCCACAGGGACCCCGAGTTTGGGCTTACTAGTGAGACTTCCTTTCTCCTTCGGTGGGGATGAGAGCAGCTTTGTCATCACCACCTCTGGTGGCAGCCCTGCCACTGTTGTGCAGCACTTTTGGCTGCTCAGTCCGTGTAAGCACACAGGGGCCCCTCACCTCAGTGATAAACAGGATGCATTCCAGAAACATGTAGTCCTTGTGGTTCTCAGTCACGGCCTTCTCATCCACAAAGTGCCGGGGCTCCAGGTGTGGATGGTCTGGGAAAAGCAAAGAGCTCTGGGGTTCGGCACAAGGCCTCCATGCCTCTCTTGTCTGTGTCCAGCCATCCCAACTGCATACATGACAATGACGCTATTAAAACAGGATAACGGGCCGGGCGCTGGTTATATGATAACGCTGGCCGGGTTCACACCTGTAATCCTTGTTTCTCAGGAGGCTGAGATCTGAGGATTGTGGGTTGAAGCCAGCCTGAGCAGAAAAGTTCCTGCGAGACTCTTATCTCCAATTAACCATCTGAAAATGGGAAGTGGCGCTGTGACTCAAGTGGTAAAGCTCTAGCCTTGAGTATAAAGAGGCTAAGGGATAGTGCCCACGCCATGAGTTCAAGCCCCACAACCAATAACAAAAAAAAAAAGATAATGGAGGGGTTGGGCATGGTTTGCTGGGAAGTATTTGCTAACTAAGAAGATATGAGGTCCTAGGTGTATTCCCTACATACATTAAAAAAAAAAAAAAAAAAGACTGTAATGGAGCCTGGCACCAGTGGCTCACATTTATAATCTTGGCTACTTAGGAGGCTAAAATATGAGACTTGAGGTTCAAGGCTAGCCTAGGCAGACAAACCCAGGAGATTCTTACCTTCAACTAACCAGCCAAAATAGTATGAACTAGAGGTGTGACTCAAGTACTACAGCACCAGCCATGAGCAAAAAACCTAAGTGAGTGCAAGGCCCTGAGTTAAAGCCTCTGGTACTAGCACTTGCAGACACATACATGTGCGGGCGCACGCACGCACGCACGCACACACACACACAAAGAACGGAGCTGAAAAATCCCTATCACATAGTGAAGTGCCATCATAATATCAAAGTATACATCTGATTTTAGTGCAATCACAGAATACATACAACTATATGTTATATACAACACTAATGATAACAAGCAATACTGTCACTATACTGGTTTTTGTTGCTTCTATGTTAATACTGAGGCTTGAATTCAGGGCCTCATACTCTCCCTTGGCCTTTTGCTCAAGACTGGTGCTCTAGATGAGCAATACCACCATTTCCAGCTTCTTACTGGTTAACTGGAGGTAAGTTTCAAGGATCTATCTATCTGGGTTGGCTTCAAACCAAGATTCCAGATCTCAGCCTCCTGAGTGGCTAGGGTTACAGGCACAAGCCACAAGTGGCAGGCACGAAGCCATGTTTTGTTATACACACAGCAGTTGCCTCTGCCTCATGTTTTGTTTCCAGTCTGGGACTCACCAGGAAGCCACATGGAGTGACTGGTCTGTGCCACCCGGGGTGCGGATACACATCTTGCCAGTGATGTGGGACTGCTCTAGCACACTTGGCTCCAACTCTCTAGTGGAGGACTTCAGATGGACGCCACCAGCACTCCAAGGCTCTGCGTCCTCACCTGCACTGCAGGGCTCTAAACATCACTGAGCACCACATGGCAAAAATGACCACCAGAGCTAGGTCTTAATCTGGCAAAGCCCCTTCACAGGGCCACTGAGCAGACAGTTAGGAGTGTTTTAGAGGTAGTTTACTCTACACCTAACCAGACAGGAGCACAGGTGCCCTCAGCTGCAGGACATGCCTGAACACAGTTTCCAGGTGCAATGATAGAGCAGGCCTGCGTGCCTCCCAGCACCGGGCTGTGGTGCCCAATGAGCCCTTGCACACAGCTCCAGTGGTGAAGATGCTGATCACTGAATCTGAAGAGCGCCTTGTTTTCAAAAGGAGCAGGGAGCATTCATTCACCCAGTCCATTATGCACTGGTGTGCACCCTTGTACTGGCCTATGTCACCTTCTATTTTTTCCTGGCGCTCCCCACTGGCTCAAAGCAAAAGGTGGCCAACCTCCAGCTACAGCCCAGCTAATAGCCTGCACTAAATGCTATCATTGTGAGCCTGGGCAGGAGAAAGGAGGGAGATGGGGTACCCCCTTTTGTACCTATCAGCTGCGAACTGCCCCAGATAAAGGGCAGAAACTGGAAGTCATCCAGGCCCCACACCCCCTGGCTGCCGGCAGGCTCCATCCGGTATGTTTTCTGGAGTTTCCGCATAACCTCCAGGTACCTGCAGGGAGGGAGGGAGAGGAAAGGGAAGGGGCCGAAGGTAAAGAACACTGTTTCCACTTACCACCACTGGGAGCACAGGCCAGAGAGTGGCAGAGTGCCTGGCGCCTCAACCAGAATGCACTCAAGGAAGTACGCAAGTGGCCTGTCCCCTCACGTCCCCACACTCAAGCTCACCTCCCCAGGGAGAAGAATAAAAAGTTGAGTGGAGCACACCAACTCCTGACTAGCTGCACAAGCTCAGGCAGGAAGCTCCGCTTCTCTAGCCTCCAGCCAGGCGACCTGCCCCCCAAAATGTGCAAAAAGGGGAGCTGCCTGAGGGGCTAACTGCGCACACCTGTGCTGAGCAGCACCGAGTAGAGCAGCAGAGCAGAGCCCGATGGCCAGGCTTCAGAAGGCTGTGTGACCTCGGTGGAGAGATCTGACTTTTTAAATGCCTCAGTTTCATCTCTAAAACAGAATCTACTTCATAGGGTGTTGAAAGAATAAATGAGTCATAGGGATATGGTCACCAGGGGAGGGGAAGCTCCACAGAGCTCATTCCCTGCCCTCCCTGGTCTTCCATGGAGGTAAGTGAGTGTGCTAGAAGCCATCTTGGACGGCAGACCAGTGCCAGAGCATGCCTGGAACAGGACCGCCTCCCTCCCACACAGCACACCCCTCTTCGCCCTCACCGATTGAACACCTTGAAGACAATAGCCACTTGGTCATCCACTCGGAGCACCCCGATCTTGCAGAGACAGCAGAGGAACGCAGCAAAGGCCGCCTCGTGCCCTAGGAGAGAAAAATAGCCAAAGTTTACATGCTTCCAGAAAGAGAACTAGTGATGTTCTTGTTCCTCTAAGAAAGACCAACATGGAGATAACCCAGAAAGACCTCATCTCTTCAAGAACCACCAAAACTATAATTCTGCTCCTAAGAGGCCCAGACTGTTCACTTCTTAAACAGTCATTTACACTTTATGAGATTAACTCGCTCCATAATCAGATCCAATTTATTGAGCACTTTCTATGTGGGCCGTCACCATCCATGTTGGGTAGAGAGGCAAGTCTCTGCCCTCAGGGAGCTTATGATCTATCAGAGAAAACAAGAATAAAATATATAGTCACTAGTACGGCTCTAGCTCTGAAGGAAAAAACAAGGTGATAACTGGGGCTATGACATAAGGACTCATGGTTTTAAAGGAAATAACAGTTACTGTGAAAGACCAATGAGATTCAGAGATACAAAAGGAGAGAAACAGAAAATGCATTCCAGCCAGAAGTAACTGCCTGTGCAAAAGGACTAGGGCAGGAGAAAGCTCCTGTTTGAAGATCCCTAAGAAAGCTGCTATATGTTTAAAGCACCGAGGCCAAGGGAGAAAGCAATCTTTCAGACGGGCTTCAAATTATGCTTTACCATGAGAGCCCTGGGAGCCACAGCAGGCTTTGGTGTCAGTACTGGAGTTTGAGCTCCAAGCCAGGGTGCAGTCCCTTAGCTTTTTGCTCAAGGCTGGTGCTCTACTACTTAACTCAAAGCCACAACTCCATTTCCAACATTTATACTGAAGCATCTTACGGATATTCCTGCCTCAACTGGCTTCAAATTGCAATCGTCAGATCTTAGCCTTCTGAGTAGCAAGGATTACAGGGATGAGCCATTGGATGCTGGCTACGGTAGGCTTCTAAGCAGAGGACACACGGACAGACTACAAGGTCTGTAGTAATGATCAGGACAATAGTAACTATGAAAAATGCCAGGAAGGGCTGGGAAGGTGGCTCAGTGGTAGAGCACTTGCCTTGCATGCCTGAGGCCCTGGATTCGATTCCTCAGCACCACATAAGCAAAAAGAAAAAAGCCGAAAGTGGCATTGTGGCTTAAGTTGTAGAGCACTAGACTTGAGCTGAAGAGCTGAGGGACAGCACCCAAGCCCAGAGTTCAGGCCCCACGAACGGACCCAAAAAACAAACAAACAAAAAAACAACTGCCAGGCACTGATGGCTCACACCTGTAATCCTACTCAGGAGGCTGAGATCTGAGATCATGGTCTGAAGCCAGACTTAGCAGGAAAGTACATGAGACTCTTTATCTCCAAAAGCTACTAAATGAAGATGGAAGTGGAGCTGTAGCTCTAGCAGTAGAGCACAAAAGTTCAAGGACTGCACTATGCCCAGGCCTTGAGTTCAAGCCCCAGGAAAGAAAGAAAAGGGAAGGGGAGGGGAGGGGAAGGAAGGGAAGGATAGAAAGAAAACGGAAGGGGGGGAAGAGAGAGAGAGAGAGAAACTAGCTGGGTACCAGTGGCTCATACCTGTAATCCTAGCTACTCAGGAGGTTAAAATCTAAGAATTACGGTTCAAAGCCATGCTGGGCAGAAAAGTCTGTGCTTATCGCGAATTAACCATCAGAAACCAGAAATGGCCCTGTGGCTCAAAGTGCTAGCCTTGAGCAAAAAAGCTCAGAGACAAGACCCATGCAGCCCCATGATTCACCAAAAAAAAAAAAAGGAAGAAAACCCTAAATAATCTTCCCTTTTGTGGCACTGCATTTGTAGTTCAGGTGCTAGAACATTTATAGAGAACAATGGCATTTATTATTTTTCCTATAAAGCAAATATGACTTAAAGGCAAATATTTTGTTTATTTCAATAAACAAGATACTGAAGTTGAAGATGGTCTCTAATGTGGACAAGTTTTAGACAAGTTCAGTCAAACAGTAATATATGCTAGGAAAGCTAAATAGCAAGCCCCACAACTAACAAAGAAAGAAAAAAAGAGTAAAGTAGGGAGAGAAGCAAGGAAACAAGGAAGCAAGGAAGGAAGGAAGACAGGCAGGCAGGCAGACAAGCAGGCAAGCAATGTAATGCTTCTGCAGAATAAAGATCCCTCCAGAGCTCCTTCCTGTAATTCCAGCTAGTTAGGAGGCTGAGATAACAGTTCAAAGATAGCAAGAAAGTCCATGAGACACTTATTTCCAATTAATCACCAAAAAGCCAAGTGGTAGAGCACCAGCCTTAAGTGAAAAGCTAAAGGGCAGTGCCCGGGCCCTGAGTTCCTGAGTTCAAGATGCAGTACTAGCACCCAAAAAAAAAAAAAAAAGTCCCTTCAGGGCCTGGAAACTCCAAGACCTCAGACACTTCCACCTGGAACAGTTTCCAGTGTGGGCCAGGCACAAGCTCTGACTTAGGGGCCCCTATAGCCTTGCCAGTCTGCCTTGGGCTCCTCTCTTTTTTGTTTTTGTTTTTGGTTGTGGGGCTTGAACTCAGGGCCTGGGTGCTGTCCCTGAGCTTCTTTTGCTTAAGGCTAGCAACTCTACCACCTGAGTCGCAACAGTACCACTGGCTTTTACTGTTTATGTGGTACTGAGGAATCGAACCCAAGGTTTCATGCACACTAGGCAAGCACTCTACCAATAAACCATATTCCCAGCCCTTTGAGCTCTTTTTGCTCAAGGCTAGAGGTCTACCACTTCAAGGCACAGTTCCACTTCCAGTTTTCTGGTGGCTGGTTAACTGGAAATAAGTCTCACAGATGTTCCTTAGATCTCAGCCTCCTGAGTAGCTAGGATTGCGGGCATGAGCCCCGGTTGCTTGGCTCTTTTCTTTGTTGACTGTAGCCAAAGCACCACCCTAAAAGTCTCAGAATACTGGCTGCAGTGGAGCAAGGACCATCCAGAGGCTGCCTGGGGCCACCCTGAGGCCTGGCTCCCAGCAGCTTTCCTGTCACCTGCTGCAGGAAAGGACAGGCCCTTACTAAGGCAGAGGTCTCCCACTCCAGAGGCCACCCTTATGCAGACAGCCCTCTCCTCCAAGTCCAAGAGAGCTTGGCCAAAGCAGATGATAGATTGAAAGAGCTCAATAGCACTGAGTATGGCTATGGGACAAAGGGTATGAGGGCAGGCCACAATAGTGCAAGGGCTACCCAAAAAACCTCTCTTGAGCCAGGTAGCAGTGGCTCACACCTGTAATCCTAGCTACTCAGGAGACTGAGAACTGAGGATCGCAGTTCAAAGCCAGCCCAGGCAAGAAAGTCTGTGGAACTCTTATCTCCAATGAACCACCAGAAAACCAGAAGTGATATTGTAGCTCAAGTGGTAGAGCACTTGCCTTGAGCTGAAGAGCTAAGGGACAGCGCCCAGGCCAGAGTTCAAGCCCCATGACCAACCAAAAAACACAAAAACAAAAACCAAAAAACCAAAAAACACCAACCAAAAAAAAAACACCTCTCTTGTTTCTCAAAACTTCTATAAATGGGGGGCTGGGAAGGTGGCTCAGTGGTAGAGCACTTGCCTTGCATGCATGAGGCCCTGGGTTCGATTCCTCAGCACCACATAAGCAAACAGAAAAAAAAGCCAGAAGTGGCGCTGTGGCTCAAGTGGTAGAGTGCTAGCCTTGAGCTGAAGAGCTGAGGGACAGCGCCCAGGCCCAGAGTTCAGGTCCCACAACCAGACCCCCCCCCAAAAAAAAAAAACTTCTATAAATGGTTTCCTTGAGATACATACAGTGCTCAATAAATTGTTTTGAGTGCTAACAAGGAGCTTGCAGAGGGACCATCTTTTAATGTTGAAGATCAGCTCTGTGCACATGGCACCAGCTCCCCCTGGTGGACCAAGCTAAAGCCACATCATCAGGCCACCCACCCTGGATCCTTGGGTCTTGACCAACCCCTGCTTGCTCAGAGGATTAAGAAAATAGGCCAAGAAAAGAAGCGGTGAGGCCGCAGAGGGCAGAACCTGCAAGCATCCGGTACCTGTGCCATAGTCAATGCGTGTGGAGTTGCCCACCGCCTCCTTCAGGTAAACGGCCACCTCGGGCACAGCAGCTGCCAGGTGGGTGGGGACCACTGTGGCCACCAAGTTTTCAGCTTCCTGATAACACAAGAGACATAAAGTGTGGCAGTCGATTAGGCAGCATCTGGAGGGGCAGGGCCCAGAAGCACATCAGCCCAGACTGCCAGAGAACTTGGCTCCCATTCTGACTAGCCACAGGAAGACAGTATTTACTCCCACACAAAGCGCCTGAGGGGTTTATCATCTGCCCCCCACAGCCGGCCAGGGCCACAGCCATGTGATTATGCATTGGAGGCTCCCAGAGACTGGGAAAACACAACTATGATCACCAGCTTCCTTCACACTCCCACAAAAGGGGAGCAGTAAGTTTGCGCTCTAAGTGTTTCAAAAGACATATATGAAAATGTTCCAAGCAGCATTATTTATAGCAGCCAATGTAAAAATACAACTAAATGTCCACTGATGGTAAGATGAGCTGGATGCTGGTAGCTTACACCTATAATCCCAGTTACCCAGGAGACTGATGTCTAAGGGCTGAGGTTCAAAGCCAGCCTAGGCAGGAAAGTCTGTGAGACTCTTATCTCCAGGTTAACCACTAAATAAAGCAAGAAGTGGAGTAGATGGTCAAGTAGTAGAGTACTAGCTTTGAACAAAAAAGCTAAGGGACACTGCCCTGGCTCTGAGTTCAAGCCCCAGCACAAAAAACAAACAACAACAACAAAAAATGAAGAAAGTCAGGCACTGGTGGCTCACGCCTGTAATCCTAGCTATTCAGGAAGCTAAGATCTGAGGATCATGGTTCAAAGCCAGCCCAGGCAGGAAAGTCTGTGAGACTCTTATCTTCAATACACCACCAGAAAACTAGAAGTGGTGTTGTGGCTCAAGTGGTAGTGTGCTCACCTTGAGCTGAAGAGCTGAAAGGGAGTGCCCAGGCTCAGAGTTCAAGCCCCACAACCTATACCAAAAAAAAAAGAAAAAAAGAAACCAGGAGAATCTGAGGATGACAAGTAAGAGGAGCATTAAAGCCTGCTGGAGAACTAGAATGTTCTATAGCTTGACGGCAGTTAATAGGTGTATGGTAAAAACATGGAACAGCCATGAAGCTGTAAGCTGACTTGTCAGCATTTTTCTAAGTGACCATGTGCCGCCTTGGAGACCACAGGCAGCCAGGCAGTCCTCACGAAGGTCCTCTGCTCTGTGGAAACTGTCTCTATGTCCAGGTACGGACCAGTGAGAATCTCCAGACCACGCAGGCATCCTCAGGCCCTATCCAGACCTGTGCATTGTGTGAGTCTGTGCTGAGCACAGGCCTGAAATCTTTCTTTTTATTCTTCATTTGCTGAGAGGTCACATCATCATCATTATTATTATTGTTGTTGTTATTGTTGGTTATAGGGCTTGAATTCTGGGCCTGGCCCTGTCCCTGAGCTCTTCAGCTCAAGGCTAGTGCTCTTACCACTTGAGCCACAGAGCCACTTCCGAGTTTTCTGGTGCTTAAATGGAGATAAGAGTCTCACAGCCTTTCCTACCTGGGCTGGCTTTGAACCGTGATCCTCAGATCTCAGTCAGTCTCCTGAGTAGCTAGGATTATAGGGGTGAGCCACCAGTGCCCAGTTCACTTTTTTTTTTAAAGCCCTTTTTTTTTTGGGGGGGGCACTGTCCCTGAGCTTCTTTTTGTTCAAGTTTAGCACTCTACCACTTGAGCCACAGCACCACCTCTAGCTTTTTTCTGTTTCTGTGGCACTGAGGAACCGAACCCAGGGCTTCATGCTTGTTAGGCATTCTACCACTAAGCCACATTCCCAGTCCTTAAACCTATTTTTGAGACAAGGTCTTGGTATATAGTCTAGGCTGGCCTTTAAGTGGTGATCCTTCTGTCTCTGCCTTCCTTGTGCTGGATTACAGGTATGTACCGCTGTGCCAGACAGGAAGTAACACCTTCATAGGATTCAAAAATGCAAGTATTGGAGAATGATGCAGAGAAGCCTCAGCACCCTCTTCCCTTCTCTCAGTGTGCCTTCCTTGCAGGGTACCTCCATGTCAAATGTGGGCAGGACGATACATATTTCTATGTCCCCTCTTCATCTCACATCTAAAGACAGCTTACCAGGCACACTGTTATATTGGGCTTGCTGACTGTTTACTTACTTGCAGTACTGGAAACAGTACAGAGCTGCTAGCTTGCCAGCCAAGCATTTTTCCAGCGAGCCACATCTCAAGCCTTTTATTTTTGGCCAGAACTGGGGCTTGAACTCAGGGGCTAACATTCAAACTCAGTGTTTTCACTCATGCCTGTACCACCTGAGCGAAAGCTTCAAGTCCAGCTTTTAGGTAGTGAATTGGAGATGAGTCTTACAGACTAGATAGAACAGGTTGGCTTTGACCTGGGATCCTCAGATCTCAGCCTCTTGTGCAGCTAGGATTACAGGCGTGAGTCATGGACGCCTATTGCTTCCTTTTTCTTGTTTACAGCTACACAGATTCCACGAAGCAGGCATCATAGTATATTAATTGACCCCCTCCAGATGGGTATCTGGGACATTGCTGCTAATACTGAGATTTAATAAGCAGCCTCCTACAGGGCACAGCGAAACCACAGCAGCAGTTCCCAGAAGATGGTTGGGATAGAAAATAAATGCTCTTAGGTTTAGTTAAGTGGAACTACCATTTAATAACCCCCCTAAGAGCTTTATAGGCCTGACAGCTTGAAATGCCTGCTCAGATGGACACAGGCCTTTCTCTATCCATGGAGCACCTGCCCTCCCACCAGCCCAGCCACGGATATGCTGTAGCAGCCTTACCTGGTCCAGTTTGGCATACCAGGTCCTGTAGGCCTTGTTCCCAAATCGGGAAGGCTGGTCCACTGGCGGCGTCTCGTCAATCCACCTGTCCAGCGTGTTGAGAAGAGCCACCAGCTTCTCAATGGCCTGTGAGGTGAAACAGAGGGGCCAAGCCAGACACTAGAGTGTCAGAGCCACCAAGGAAGTGCCACCTGCTGATGAGTGGTGACCCTAGGGAATGGTGCCTTACTGTCCATTCTCCTGGCAGTCCCTTTTCTTCCCAGACATCCAGAAAGATGGTTCAAGAGAGGAAAGAGCACTAGGCTGAGAGGTGGTAGGTGCTGCTGGACAAGTATGAACTCCAGCCCTGATCTCTGCTAAGTGTGATTTCCCTGAGGGTTCCCCCCTGAAGGCACAATACCTCTCTCCACACAGCACAGAAATGTGGAAGACACAGACAGATAACTGGGATGCTTGCCTCACATGTAAACATACCCTCTGTTCATTTTTTCTAGTATGTTTTACTGTTCAGCATGGTAAAGATTTGAAGGCAGGCTGGGTGCCAGTGGCTCACACCTGCAATCCTAGCTATTCAGGAGGCTGAAATTTGAGGATTGCAGTTCAAAGCCAGCCTAAGCAGGAAAGTCTGTGAGACACTTTTTTTTTTTTGGGTCCAGTCATGGGGCCTGAACTCTGGGCCTGGGCGCTGTCCCTCAGCTCTTCAGCTCAAGGCTAGTGCTCTACCACTGGAGCCACAGCACCATTTCTGGCTTCTTCTGTTTATGTGGTACTGAGGAATCCAACCCAGGGCCTCATGCATGCAAGGCAAGCGCTCTACCACTGAGCCACCTTCCCAGCCCCTGTGAGACTCTTATGTCCAACTAACCACCAAAAAACTGGAAGTGGTAGTGTGGCTCAAGGTGGTAGAGCATATTAGCCTTGAATGAAAGAGCTCAGGGACATGTCCAGGCCCCTAGTTCAAGCCCCAGGACCAACAACAATAACAAAGATTTGAAGGCAGATGCACCTGTATTCAAATCTTAGCTAAATACCATTGGGCTCCTTTAATATCTTGAGCCTCTTGTACTCATGTCAAACAGCAGGATGACTTAGGCCTCCAAAGGCACAGTGTGCCTGGCATAATGATGAGATACACTCATATACAGACGCTGAGAGGAGGATCATGGGACACACACCCCTCTGCAGCCTGCTCATTTTCCTCCAAAGCCACATTCCATGACAACATGCAAACAGAACTTTATGACAGCTAAGAGCTGGATATTGGTCTTAGCACAGTGGCTCATGTCTATAATACTATCTACTTAGGAGGCAGAAATCAAGGGGGTCATAGTTCCAGCTTAGCCAGGGAAAAAGTTATTAAAATCCCACTTCAGCCAATTATCTGAGCCTAGTGGTACGCACTTGTTATCCCAGCTATGAGGGAGGTACCAGTAGGAGCACCAGTGCCCATCTGAAACTCTATCCAAAAACACTAATGGCAAAAAAAAAAAAAGGCTGGCCTATGGTTCAAGTGCTTAACAAGCACAAGCACAATAATGTTTCAGTGAATCAATATATAATGATTTGTCCAGAAAATTCTTCATTGTTAAATATCTAGGTTACTGCACAGACAATCTGTGGTCAAACAATGTTGCAGCTGACTCTTCATGGAAGCCCTGGATGGTGCACAACGCTTCCTTAGGGAAGACCAGACTAGGAGGTGACCCTGTTGTGTGTGAAGCATTAACACACTATTCGGTACCAAACAGAAAATCAGGCTGGGCAAAGGCCTATGAGGGAAGGGCAGCTGCTCCTTCCCAGGAGAAACAAGCCAGAAACAGGAGAGGAGGACAATGACCCCGCAGCAGCAGTCAGCCACCCTAGGATGAAGGTCCCTGCTGGGTAGCAGATCCTACTGATGTCCATAGGAATAAATGGTTGGACAAACTTCCAGAATACCTGGCACTGGGTAAGAACTAGCAGGAGGCTGACAGGAAGCTAGGCCTGAGAGGACAGGGCAGAAGTCAGGGTAGGCACCGTGTGCAGATTGCCCAGAAAACTAGGACACTTCCTGGCCAGCGGTACAGAGCACCAGGGGTGCAGGTGGCAGTATACACTGGCTCCATTCCCTGACTGCTGTTCTTCTTCACCCACTGCTTGGATTGGAGAGTAGGAGAAAGTCAGTTTCCCACTGGTTGAGGTAAAGGGCTGGGATGGCACAAAGTGCCATGCTGAAATGTGACAGTAAGGGCTGCCAGAGCCTGGCTTTGAGAACCAGGTCATCAGGAAATGCTGCCAGCACAGACCAAAGCTGACATCACACACTGCTGTGGCTTCTGAGAGATGAGCCATAGTCTTGGCCCCAGGAAGTTCCGGGTCCCCTGGAGATTTCAGTCTGTGGCTGTGGTGTGACTCTGAAAGGGACAAAGAAGGTGGCTTGGAGGCCAGCAGGAGCAAAGGCTCAGCTGCTAGCTCAGCTGAATCAATGAATAATTAAGACTGCCACCTCCTCCTTCTGGCTGGATTTTTTGACCCAGGACTGCCTCCATTGTTGGGTAGGCAGGGAGAGCAAGGCGGGGGAGAGATAAGGGCTGGAACTCCACTGAAGTACAAAGAATAACCTGAGCTGTTCTCCCCAGCTACTTCCTTTACACATTTGATAGACCAGTGAAATCTTCCCTAAAGTTTTACTGGCCATTTTTCTATGCCCTTTGGTATGTTTTTTAAAAAAATCAAAACAGCTGGGAAGTTGGCTCAGTGGTAGAGCGCTTGCCTTGCATGCCTGAGGCCCTGGGTTCGATTCCTCAGCACCACATAAGCAAAAAAAAGAAAAAAAAATCAAAACAGCTGGGCACCAGTGTCTCATGCCTGTAATCCTAGGCTGAGACCTGAGGATCATGGTTTGAAGCCAGCCTGGGCAGCAAAGTCTGTGAGACTCTTACCTCCAATTAACCACCAAAAAAGCTGAAAGCAGAGCTATAGCTCAAGTAGTAGAGGACTAGCCTTGAGCTAAGAAAAAGCTCAGGGATGTACCCAGGCTGAGTTTGCCTCAAAAAACAGCTGGGCGGGCACTGGTGACTCACACCTGTAATCCTACTCAGGAAGCTGACATCTAAGGATCACAGTTCAAAGTCAGCCTAGGCAGACAAATCCATGAGACTCTTACTCCAATTTATCAGCAAAAAAGTCAGAAGTGTGGTGTGGTTGAAGTGGGAGAGGGCCAGTCTTGGATGGAAAAGCCAATAAATAATAAATAAATGACAGCTTCCAACCACAAGTCTAGACAAACTCCCTGCCTTCGTGTTCTCTAGTTCACCTCAGGTAGAAGCCAGGAGCCCCCATAGTCACCCCACGCTCTCTCAAGCCCAATGTGCAGCAGAAGGCAGCAAGAGGATACAGAGACCCACAGTTTTTCCCCAATGGGGGGAACCCTGTGTGGAGTCACCACATGCCATGAGCAGTGCCTGCTGCTGCCCCTACAGCAACAGGCAGACACAGGAGCTCTGGAGACAAGGCCAGTCACCCCCTCAACACACAATGAGGAGCTGACCACCCATGGGTGCTGAGGAGAAGCCTGGCTCAGGAAGAGCCCTGAACCTCAGCTAAACCAACAGCGCACTGCTGAACATCAAGCTAGTGACAGAGGGGAACACCTAGTGACAGAGGGGAAGAAGAGGAAAAGCATTTAGTAGGGACCAGCAGGACCCAGCGGCTCCTCCCAGTGTTACCATGAGTGCTTGACTCTTCTCACTCTGAGGTCACTCAGCTGAGAAGTGGCTCGTTAGCAAACCCTGCCAGAATCTTAGCTCATAAATATACCACAATCCTGCAAAAGAATAGCTTTAAAGCCAAGGTAGCACCTGCTCATTGTGGCTACCTCCCACAAGACCTCAGAGGCAACTGAGGACCCAAAGGGGATTTGGCACTAGCCTTCACTGGGGCAATTACAACATCCCCCCTTAATGACTCTTCTCAATACTTCTGGCCCACTGAGCAGTTGAGCACCACCCTCCCCCAACCATCCTGTGCAAAGCCACTGTCACAGTGGCTTTACAACCCAAGGAACCACTGCTGGGCGTGGTCCTAAGGGAAGGCTAGCCACACCAGAACAGGCCCAGCTCCCCTCAGTGGGCAGAACAGGATGTGGGTCTGTGGCCAGCACCCACAGAGGGCCAGCAAGAGCCAGTTCCAAGGGGCAAGGTGATAAGCAATGTTTGACTGGGACAGGTGAAGAAACTGGGCCAGGGCAAGGCCAGACCTTACCTAATAGGCCTGAGCCTGTGGCTAGAGGGCTAAGTGAACCAAAGTACTGAAACTGGCTGTTTATGCCCAGTTGTCTGAGATAGGAGGCTCAAGGTGGTTCTGGGCCAACTGGGACATGAACCCAAGAGGCCACTGGGGACCTGAAACTTTGTCCTAGGAGAAGGCATTGCCACAGCAAATAGATACTCTCCAGTGGGTCCTCCACCTGCCAACAGCCTCTCTCTGAAACAACCAAAGATTTTCTACTCACTGAGTAGGGTAAATCCAAAGGTAACCCACACATTCCCCCCTGCCCCCCAGCCAAAAAAACAAAAACAAGAAAACCAAAAACTATGCCCTTTGGCCCACGTTTTGTACTTCTGGGAATGCATCTTCAGGAAATAAGGCCCACAGATATATGATTAAGCATGTCAGAGCCCCAACGCACAGGTACAGCCAGAAAGTCTAAAGCTAGGGCAATGTAGACGATGAGGGCCAAACTCAGTATAGCAGCCACTTCCAGCCCCAGAGAGGAGAAGCGTTGAGTATGAAGGCAGATATAGGGTGATGCCCACTTCCTTATTAGTGCTGTACATGCTTCTCACCAGGGAACCTTTTGTCATCTTTCCTTAATTTTTTGTTGTGTAAGGGACTGAACCCAGGGCCTTTCCCACACTAGGCAAGTGCTGTACCACTGAATTGTACACACCCTCAGTCTACCTTTTGTCTCTTTATTTACTGGGGGGTGGGGAGGGGTGGAGGGTGTCTCACAGCCTGGAACTATCTTTTTTGCTCAAGGCCAGTGCCCTACCACTTGAGCCACAGCTTTGCTTCTGGCTTTTTGCTAGTTAATTGGAAGTAAGAGTCTCCAGGATTTTCCTGCCCAGGTTGATTTTAAAACCTTTAGCTGGGTGCTGGTGGCTCACACCTATAATCCTAGCTACCCATCCTAGCTGAGATGGGTCATGGTTTGAAGTCAGCCTGGGCAAGAAAGCCTATGAGACTCTTATCTCCAATTAAATCACAAAAAAAGCCAAAAGTGGAACTGTGCCTCAGGACTGGCCAAAAAAAGAGGGGCTGGGAAGGTGGCTTAGTGGTAGAGTGTTTGCCTCGCATGCATGAGGCCCTGGGTTCCATTCTTCAGCACCACATAAGCAGAAAAACCTGGAAGTGGTGCTGTGGCTCAAGTGGTAGAGTGCTAACCTTGAGCTGAAAAGCTAAGGGACAGCGCCCAGGCCCAGAGTTCAAGCCCCATGACCAGCCAAAAAAAAAAAAAAGAGAAAGAGGGGGGGAGGAGGGAGGAGAGAGACAGAGACAGACACAGAGAGAGAGAGAGACAGAGGGAGACAGAAAGAGAAAGAGAGAGAGAGAAACCTTGATCCTCAGATCTCAGCCTCCTGAGCAGCTAGGATTAGAGGTATGAACCACCAGTACATAAAAAAAGTAATCAACTTGACCAAAGTAAAATACATACATGTATGGAAACATCACAGTGAATCCCCTATGTATAATTAGCATAGGCCAATAAAAATATCTTAAAACAGCAAAAATTGGCAGACAACAGCTACTGTGTATTTACCATATGCTATAAACCAAATAAAAAATTTTATCCATTCATAGATTTCAAAAACTGCAACTATGGACAACAAAAGTAAACTGCATATGTAGACCCCGTCTTCCATGACAGCCTGCTACAGAGGCCCCTGCTGAGCCTACCTCAGAGACTCTGTACTCAAAGGTCAGCTTCTTCCCCTTCACACCTTCATTGAGGGTAAGGATGAATCCAATGTAGTCAGCATATGCCTATCAAACAGAGGAGAGAGGGGTGAAGAGAGAGGAGTATCAGAGTCCACCAGCACAGCTCCACCCAAACTTCCTCTGGCTCCCAACCCCAGTCGCAGGACAAGTAGACAGATAATGCCAAATAAACACACAGCCACTAGAACTGGCAATCCAGTGATCAAAATGACATTTACAGAGTGCTCACAATGGCTACTGGCAGTTGCTTTCCATGACACTCCCATGAGTTAAATACTACAACTGTCTACATTTTACAGGTGAGAAAACCAAGGCTTCAAGGTAATAAGGGATCTGCCTAAGGTCTTCCAAGACCCAGATCTCATCAGACAAGAAGCTAGGATCCAGTTACCCTAACTGCAAAGCTGAGCAGACAGCTGTGTGACCATCATGCTATACCACCAAAGCATAAGAGGTACCCTTGCTATCTTTCCCACCAGGCAGGTCAGGTAGGTTGTCTGATGGAAGTGTATATGCCCTACTCTGAAGAGACATTTTCCATTTATAGCCACATCTCCCAGCAAATCTAGCTTCTAACAGGACCCTCTCTTCTGGGTGGGGCTGCAAGTTGGTCTAGCACTGAGATGAGAAAGCACCCAGGCACTGGTAGCTCACACTTGTAATCCTAGCTACTCAGAAGGCCGAGAGTTAAGGACTGTGATTCAAAGCCTGCCTGGACAGGAAGTCCTTGAGACTCCAAGGAACCAGCAAAAAGCCAGAAGTGGAAGTGTGGCTCAAGTGGTAGAGTACTAGCCTTCTTGAACATTAAAAACAAAAGCATGGAGTGAGGCAGCTACTGGGAGCAAGTGACTCATGCTTATTTTGTTTCCTCTTCATCTCTTTTCTTCTCCCTCTCCCCTTTTTTTGGTGCCAGTCATGGGGCTTAAACTCAGTGCCTAGGCACTGTTCCTGAGCTTTTCTTTTGCTCAAAGCTAGCAGGTCCTACTACTTGAGATATAGCTCCACACCCCACTCTTTTACTATTTAATTGAAGAGTCTCATGGTCTTCAAATTGCAATCCTCAGTTCTCAGCCTCCTGAATAGCTAAGATTAGAAGTGTGAGCCACTGGCACTAAGCTCTTCTTGTTTTTTGGGTTTTTTTGTCAGTCATGGAGCCTGAACTCTTGGCCTGGGCACTGTCTCTCAGCTCTTCAGCTCAAGACTAGCGCTCTACCACTTGAGCCACAGCACCACTTCTGGCTTTTTTTCTGCTTATGTGGTGCTGAGGAATCAAACCCAGGGCCTCATGAATGCAAGGCAAGCGCTCTACCACTGAGCCACCTTCTCAGCCCCTCTTCCCTCTTCTTGATCCAAGCCTACTGATGTCGGAAAGAACCAACAGAAACCAGCACTAGAAAGGAGCACTCAGGTGATGATCACAACTCTCTATACCCAATGCAAGTGTGAGCCCTGCCCTGACTGCAGCCAGTACACAGCCATTCAAAGCAACAAAAGCAGCAGTCACTCCTGGATTCAGTGGGTCAGGGTAAGGAGTGCTTCCTAGCTGGGTCTGACTCCTAAAAGACATCTATTGACAGACATGTATGCTGTGACAACTGAGGCAAGGAGTATGGCAAGTATGTAGATCCTACTATAACACATAGGACAAGCCCTACAAGAACCATCTGTCCTTGACTTTCCCTAGAAATTCAAAATGGATTTGCTTTTTCCCAGACTCTGTGTGTGTGTGTGTGTGTCATTTGTCCTTGACTTTCCCTAGAGATTCAAAATGGATTTGCTTTTCCCAGACTCTGTGGGTGTGTATGTCTCTCTGTCTGTCTGTCTGTCTCTCTCTCTCGGCGTTTGAACTCAGGGCCTTGGCACTGTCCCTGAGCTTCTTTTGCTCAAGAGTAGCATTCTACCACTTGACCCACAGTTCCACTTCTGGGTTTTTGGTAGTTTAGTGGACATTAGAATCTTACAGACTATGCTGCCCAGGCTAGTTTGGATATGTGATCCTCAATCTCAAGCCTCCTGAATAGCTAAGATTACAAATGTGAGCCATTGGTGCCTGGCTCAGTCTCCATCTTTTCAGTCTAGACCTGGAAGGTCCAAGCTGTTTCATTCTGCCCACTATTGGGGTTGAGCAGCAGAAAAAGCCAACTTGACACCCAGTGTTCTAGATCTCAGCCGTCAGCTGTTTTTAGGCTCAGCAATGTACCTGGCCAAAGCGTCCTTCAGACACATAGATTCTTCTCTTCTCAGCATTTGTCTTCTATCTACCCTTATGTGCAAGCAAGAATCGGTGAATACCATCATTTAGGAGACTCATGTTCATTAGTCCAACAAGATTCAAGGGCAGCCTGGCACTGGTGGCTCACACCTGTAATCCTAGCTACTCAGGAGGCTGAGATCTGAGGATTGTGGCTCAAAGCCAGCCCAGTCAGAAAAGGCCTTGAGACTTTTTTTTTTTTTTTGTCGGTTGTGGGACTTGAACTCTGGGCCTGAGTGCTGTTCCTCAGCTCTTCGGCTCAAGGCGAGCGCTCTACCACTTGAGCTACAGTGCCACTTCTGGTTTTCTGGTGGTTTATTGGAGATAGGAGTCTCACGGTCTCTCCTGCCCGGGCTGGCTTTGAACCGAGATCCTCAGATCTCAGCCTCCTGAGTAGCTAGCTGGGATTACAGGCGTGAGCCACCAGCGCCCGGCTTCTTGAGACTCTTATAGCCAATTAACTACCACAAAACCAGAAGTAGTGCTGTGGCTCAAAGTGGTAGAGTGCTAGCCTTGAGCAGAAGAGCACAAGGATAGTGCCCAGGCACCAATTTCAAGCCACATGACTGACAAAAATAAATAAATAAATAAAGTTTCAAGGGGCAATGGTCTATAAGCAACAGGGCTCCTACACTGGGAACTTCCTGATTAAGCATCTCTGTGGGCTGCTCCTGAGGACAGACATCAGCTCTCTGTCAGCTCCCTAGCTTGACAGTTCTGGTTCCAAGAGCAAGAAAGGCCAGGAAATCACAGCCCATCATGCTTACAAAACCATTGTCTAAGGAAGCACAAGTTCTCACCCCAGTTCCAACCTCAAAGTACAAACACTTGTACCTGAGAACGCTTCCATTTCCCCATGTCAGGAACTGTGTGGATCTCCTTTTTTGGAATGATAAAGTTCTGTGTGGCTGGAGGAGTCTCCTCTGAAGAATCTTGACAATGATCTGGTAAATACAGAGAAGATATAAGGCAACCAGAATTATCAGTAAGATAGAGACAAAGTGTGTCGCCATAAATAGGGGGAGAGGTCCTGGGAAAGAGAACCTGTACAATGAAGGCTTAGAAGGTTATGCATGACTTCTGGAAAGATCCAGGTCCTTTTGAAACAGGCCTTTCTGGATCAAATGCAAAGAAGTTATGCTCCTGGGCTGGGAATGTAACTTAGTGGTAGAGTGTTTGCCTAGCATGCACAAAGTTCTGGGTTTGATTCCTCCGTACCACATAAACAGAAAAAGCCAGAAGTGGCCCTGTGGCTCAAGTGGTAGAGTGCTAGCCTTGAGCCAAAGCTCAGGGACAGTGCTCAAGCCCTGAGTTCAAGCCCCAGGACTGGCCAAAAAAGAAAGAAAAATAAGTTATGCTTCATTCAGTGCAGTGGTGACAATTTTGGATTGGCAAGTCACAGTCCTGAAAACTCCAGGCGTCTCTTGAAATGAGCCTATTGTGGAGCTGTGTGCTTCATCAGATGTAAGGAAACACGGGTCATGCTGTAATGCTTCCAGACATGTTACCATCTATTTGGTAATACAACACGTTCTTAGCCGGGCGCTGGTGGCTCACGCCTGTAATCCTAGCTACTCAGGAGGCTGAGATCTGAGGATCTCGGTTCAAAGCCAGCCCGGGTAGGAGAGACCGTGAGACTCCTATCTCCAATAAACCACCAGAAAACCAGAAGTGGCACTGTAGCTCAAGTGGTAGAGCGCTCGCCTTGAGCTGAAGAGCTGAGGGACAGCGCCCAGGCCCAGAGTTCAAGCCCCATGGCCGACCAAAAGAAAAAAAAAAATACAACACGTTCTTGGGATATCTGTAGATGGGGGCACTATGTAGGCCAGTACTATTTTAGATAGGATTGTTATGTAGTCTAGGCTAATCTTAGCTTTGCTAGGATTACAGGCATATACCACCACATCTGGCCACACTCTTGTTTTGTGTGTGTGTGTGTGTGTGTATGTGTTGATCATGGGGCTTGGATGCTTTTCCTGAGCTCTTTTGCTCAAGGTTAGGGCTCTATCACTTTGAAGCACAGCACCACTTCTGGTTTCCTGGTGATTAACTGGAGATAAGTCTCATGGACATTCCTGCTCAGGTTGGCTTTGAACCACAATTTTCAGATCTCAGCCTCCTGGGTAGTTAGGATTACAGGTGTGAGCCTGGAGCACCTCTTGGGCTTTTCTTTTTTTTCTTTTTTCGGGTCCGGTCATGGG